CTTGACCTCCGCCTCACCCAGCTCCCCTTGGCCGTGCGGGTCCGTCGTGGGCTGACCCTGCTGCACAAACTCCGCCGCTACTTTACACCGGACGGCACGCGCCGCCTACTGCCCAAACTGGCCGAAGGAGCAGAGGCCTTGCTTGCATCGCACGCCGTCGCGGACGACGGCGAGGACACCGTCTGTGAAATGGACAACGAGGACCTCGCATTTGTCCATCGCTGGTGGGGGCAGCTGCGGGCGGTCTTGCCGCCCCCGTATGAGGAGCACGACCCCGTTGTGGATGGAGCCATTGAGGTGAATGACTCGCTCCGCTCAGCTAGCGCTGACGATGGAAGAGATAGCGCTGAGGCCTGGCATGAGCAACAGGAGCTGGCAGCATACCGCGAGGATGAGCAGCGGTACATGGACTATATGGCGGAGAAGGCGGCAGGGTTCCTGACAGCGGAGAACAACGACGTGGGGCTATCGGCCTCAAGTTACCAAGCCTGGGAGGATTGGACCCTGGCAGAGGCAATGGCGACTCCCCCTGTGACCCGGAAGCGGCCATACCTGGAGATTCAGGTCTTTGCTTCGGGAGACACGTCGGGCCCAAGCACCACGACCCGGGTGAGCATGAGCTCCTCCAGCACAGTTCAGCTACGGATGCACCTGCCCGAGGTGACGGAGTCGCACGAAAGTGAGGCAAGTACGGTGCCAGTACAGCCGGTGCAACCAGCTATGGAGACGCAAGTGGATGGGGCTGACAGCACCGAGGGGTGCCCCCCAATGCCCCAGGGGGATCCGGAGATGGTCAGGCACCGCCACCTGCAGCAGCTGCCGTTCGAGGACTTGTATGCGGAGTGGAAGGCTGGTCGTGTGGATGTGGCGACCTTGCTGGCGCTGGGTGGCCAGGACCTCATCAACTCACTGGCCGACAAGCTCCGGCGAGAACGGGGTCTACCGCAACACTCGAAGGGCGAGGTGACCGGCCATGAGTTCCAACACTGAGTGCAGTGAGGACAGTGCGAGGTTGCCGTGCGGCGGCTATGCTGCCTTACTTCACGCTGTGACAAAGGTCAGTGGATGCAGTTTGTGCCCCGTGTTATGTTCTCTAGGGGTGTCATCTTGGGGTTTGCTGCTTTACGGTTCAGGGCTACTGCACTCTGACCTCTGCCTGGCCGTGACCTGACACTTGAGCTGTCGTGGAGAGGGCAAGCCGTGGGATCGCTTTCCTACCACGGTTCGTGGTTGCCGCTTGTTGACGTCCCTTTCTGCAAGGTCGCAATTTTGACGGGTTCAAGGGTCTGATCTGCCTGGGGTAGGCGTGTGATGATTGTGTGTGCGGGTTGGTTGAGCATGTCTGTTCTGCTTCCCCAGTGACGATCGGAACCTGACCGACTGTGCTGGTAGTCGTGGTGACCCTAGGTAAGGGCAGCAGCACGGAGTTGGGACTTTGGCTGTGGGTTTTTGACTTCAGGTAAGCTTCAGGTTATGCTGTGTGTTCTTGACTTCAGGATATGTCCGTGCCTGCCTGCTACCATCGTTGCCCTCATTTGTGGTTCCAAACGCCCAGCGGAACTCCGCTTTCACCTTGGTGAACACTCGGCGAGGGGAAAAGGGTCGTGCAAAAAAAAAACCCTAAACCCAAAACCCCTTTAAACCCTAAACCCTAAATCCCGAATCAACTAGGGCTCCAGCCCTGCCATGTTCAGGTTCGTGGACTGCTTGACTTTCTCTCACGGCCAAGGCTCCGGCTCGCAAAACCTTAAGCCTTAAGCCCTACAAGCCCTAAACCCGGAAGCCCAAACCCCTCTATGATGCCAAAACCTCTAAAAACTTTCTATAGAAACCCAAACCTCTCTATAATCCCAACACCTCCAAACTCTAAACATGTTCTGTAGGCGGTAAGGGGTTCTCCAGGAGTTTTGAGGTTTAGGGTTGATGGATTTGGTGGAGCAGACTCCGATAGACTCCGTGACTTGCAGGAAGCTCGGGTTCAAGCCTTGAGGTCTTCGAGCTTCGGGAGTTACCTTTCAGTACCCTAGTAACGGTGTAGGGGGTTTAGAGTTTTGCGAGGAAACACGTCTTTCCCGGTAGAGTCGCTGCAGACCGGATGCAAAAGGATTTAGGCCTCCTATATTCAAATCCAGCGAAGCAAATGTTCATATCTATTTGATGGTCTGTCTCGCTGATTCTTCAGTAGGTTCAGGCCATGATGTCGTCGCGGCCTCGGGCATGCGATCTTGTCGGAAGTAGCGTCGGCAGACGCTACTGCCGTCGAGCATCTGCAAGGCACCCGAACGCATGAGGAAGATTCGTGGAGCCTGGACGAAGCCTGGAGCTTGGGTTTCACATGCTGGGTACATCTGAGCCTTCCCTTCCTTTGGAGTCTTTAGAACACTTTAAGGGGCGGGTTCGGCAATCTTTGTCAAGATCAGAGCGGATAGTTGCATTGCTCTTAGGCCGTTGCTTACATTGAACCAGATAGAGGTTATAGCTCTAAGGGAGCTTCAGGTTTCGGTAATTGTTGGTTTCTGTATTGATCTCTTTATATCATCGTGTTTAAGAGCCTCACACTAATTGGCCGCAGTTGCCCGTAAAGTATATAGCTGAAGCCTTGAACTCCAAGTAATGTCATTCGTAGTGGGGTTTATGTTTGGGCAAGCTAAAGCAGCCCTCGGGGAATGTTCATGGGACAACGAACAACGAACAACAACGAACAACAACGACAAGCGATGGCAAGAAACAGCAACAACAAACAACACACAACGACACACAACACCAGCCAACCAGAACCAACCACAACCAACAACAACGAACAACAGCCAACAGCAGCCAACAACAACCAGAAAGTCTAAACTCCAAACCAATCTGCCTCCCGTTGCCCACAAGGCATGGAGGCAGCAAGTACTCGCGATGGAGGCCAGCATCAATACGGCTTTGTTGCTATGCTTGGTCTTGCCTCTACACGTAGCGTTATGATGATTCTCTTTTCGCCGTCATGGCTTTGTTGCTTTTCCTTCGAGCGCCTCAGCAGTGCATGCAACGTATGCAGCATAGGAGCAGCAGCCCATGACTTACGCGGCGCCCGAGCAGATGCCCATCATAGTTGTTGTTGTTGCAGTCGCAACAGCCCCCCAGCTCCCACCTGTCTATGCGGCTCCCGCCCTGGAGATGCAGCCTGCACCGGCCATCCATGCCGCTCCTGCTGGGGACATCCCACAGGCATATGCGGGCTCGCCAGAGGCAGCAGTCCCAATGATATCCTCTGCTGCCGCACCGGGCCCGATTTGCTGCGGAAAAGTCTGCTGCCCTGGACTCAGCCAAAGTTCGAAGAGTTTTTGCTTCTACTGCTGATTCCGTTGATGATGATGATGATGATGATGATGATGATGATATATATATATATATCCTGCATTACCCAAGGAGCTTAAACCCTAAACCCTTGCTCAGGCTCCGACTGGCACTTTTGCCCCTTTTGTGGGAGCCCTGTGGCTGTGTGCCCCGCTGGGTGCGGGCTTAGGGTTGAGGCATTTTGGCAGAAGTATGGTAAGAGGGGTGAGGGCTAAATCAAGAGTATGCCAAGGAGATCCAGGAGCATGCAAACAGTGTGACCAAAGCCTTCAGCAGTTAGAGCAGGTATGATCCAGCGATTTATCCAGCTCCTGAGCAGCAGCGCATGACCTCTGCTGCTCCCGTTGCAGAGCTGAGCACACCGGCAATTTACGCAGCGCCCGCGCAGCAGCAGATGACCTGCGCTCCAGCTAGCGCACCCGCTGCTAGCTATGCAGCCCAGCCCATGACCCATGCTGCCCCGGCCGCAGTACCACCTTCACCGTCCCCTGCGCGGGCCTCAAGCGCAAAGAGGGCTTAGGGTTATGATAAACATAGATATAGATTAAATTATAGATATATACACATACATGCCTACACACACACTGTGTAAGGTTCGCATCACTCGACCACAAAACGGCATGATGAGAAATCAAAACAATCATAGGGCTCACGTGGAGTGTGATGTCGTGCAGTTTTACGCGGGGTTCCGCGGAATGGGTTTCGATTGGGATCTTCATGAACAAGTTTTTTCTTTCAGCTTCTAGGCTGTCTGAAGAAGATTTTCAGGTTTTAGATAATCCTGAGTGAATTCGTGCTTTTCGGATTCTACGCATGGAATGATGAGAGGCTGACAATATCAACAAGCGATTGCACGTATCAAGCTTGATCATCTTAGTTTCGATGGTTCTCTATACAAGCAGAGCTATGCCCTGAAACAAAGCCGCAGTAGCCTGCCACAGCACTGCAAGTTGAACAGCCCGAAATTCTTAAAACAAACGCGTTGAGGTTGTAGCGGCCTAGGCTCGGGCTTTTGGGGTTCCTAGACCGTAAATCTGTGTAGGTACCTAGGATTCCAAACCACAAGCCCTAAACCCTACAGCCTTGAGCAGGGATATGTCATTTAAACACAAACACATAATATAGGGACTTAATGACCAATACTATGTTGGGACTCCTTATCATATTTATATAGTATAGACCCCGGACCGAAACCCCATGATAAGGAGCCCGAATGGGCAGGTTTTTTGGGTCCAGGTATATTATAACCACCTATAGCCTAAACCGAAACCCTAAACCCCAAACCCACAACCCTAAACCCTACACCCCAAACGTAAAAAGCTAAACCCTAAACTCTCGGCTGCGGCTACACAGCCTTTCAGCGCTGTTGAGCACTGTTGCTGCTTGTGGGGTGGGGCGGGTGGGGGGGGCTAAGCCAGCATTTTGCACGTCGTGCACAAGAGGAGTCGGGGCGAGTTTCGCAAACAAGTCGAAAACCACTCGAAAAACATTACTAGTACTAGTACTATTGCGAGTTTGTTTCGCGTTTTTTCGTGTTTTGCGTGTTTTTCGTGTTTGTAGTGTGTTTCTGCGCGTTTCGTGTTTTTCGCGTTTTTCGCATTTTCCCGGTTTCGCGTTCTTTATTTGTCACGACTCTCATTATCAATTATTATAATCATTATTTCTAGTATTAGTACTGGTACAATTATTTTTATTACTATCACTGTTTCTGTTCCTATTGCTATGATTAGAATTATGACTATGACTATCACTATTACTGGTGCGAATACTGCTACTTTTGTTATTACTATTGTTATTACGATTACTATTTCTATTACTATTACGACTATTACGATTATTATTCCTACTATCACTATTACTTTTACTATCACTATCACTATCACTATCCATGAGTATGACTATGATTTTTGTTATTATTACTGCTACTACTACTACTACTACTACTACTACTACTACTGCTACTACAACTGCTACGACCACTACTACTATTACTATTACGATAACCTTTACTATTGCTTCTATTTGTATTTTTAGTACTACTACTGCTATTACTAGTCCTTTTACTGGTACTATTATTGGTATTAATACTGGTACTATCACTGGTACTTTGGCCAGTGCTATTTTCACCAATACTGTTGCTGTGACTATCCCTTTTGCTATTTCGACTGCGATAGCTTTTGTTATTTCCAGTTATGTTACTGTTTCTATTGTAATTCTCATTATTACGCTCAGTATTACTATTACACTTTTTGACATTTTTTTCGTTCTTGCGTCTTTCGCGTTGTTCAGTGTTTTTAGCGTTTGTTCGCTGTCCTCGTGTTTTTCGCGTTTGTCGCGTCCAACTCTGCGCTTCCGCTTAGCTGGGACACCCAAAAGCCTTTCCACAGTGGGGGGGTGGGGGCACGGCATGATGACGTATTTTTTAAGGGCACATCCATTCTTTTCTGGTTTTACACTGCTTTCGTGATACCAGCTACGCAGGCTTTGCCAATCCTCCTCGGTCCAGGGCCCAGCCTCAGTGCTGAGAGGAACCGAAAAAGGGAACCTAATGTGGGAGTTTCCAATTATTAGGGTACCTTATTTGGAGGGTCTCTAGAATAAGGGTCCTACTATGTAGGGTACTATATGAGGGTCCCCTATTTTCCGAAACGCCCATTCAGAGAATTACCCTCATCCTGGAGAGCCAGCTTCGGGCTTGTAGAAGGGCTCTAAGGCTTTCTTCTGGGTTTCGAAAAAATTAGTGTTATTAGTTACGTTTTAGAATGGGTCTGTAGAATATTTTGGGGGGCCTTAACAGCCAGAATAGGGTTTTGCTTCTAGTTCCCTGAAAACGAAACCCCGAACTCTTAACCCTACACCCTTAAAGCCTAAACCCTAAACGGTGCCGACCACTCGACGTCGGTTCCGGATGCCTCGTCCACATTTACAAGCTCCCCTGGCTCCGACGTCCTACGGTGCGGTTCCCTTTTTGCGTGGGATATCCTCACCTTATTGACTATGTCGAAGTGGAGGTTATGGGACATCCCAACCTTGCGGGTAGATGAGGCCTTGTAGACAAGCCTGGAGTTACCCTTAGTCTGAAAGGAACCTAAAGCCGAAGCCATAGTATAGAAGCTTGAATAGTTACCCACATTGTTCCCTTGGGCTCCTTCTTATAGTACAATATGCCGTAGACCCAATATACAGCAAACTAGGCCCAGGGTTCCTTGCTATATTTTTTCTATGATATACCACCAACTCTCATTAGGCCCTCGGGTTCCGATATGTTAGCCGTGCAAGTTGCATGATTTATAAGCAACACGACCGTAGCCATATTCGCAGTATTCCTTTGTTGACACATCTAGCCCGGCGTGCAGCCACAGCATCACAAACATCACTGCGCGCATGCCGCACTGAATATGACAAAACTTGTCTCTTATCCTAGACACTAGTCGGAAACTACAGCCTAACGAAGATGCATTCGTCGTGCTCGATGCACAGACCTGACTGAAGCATTCACAATCAAAGACCAAGAGCACGTGGCAACTCGACTTCCCCAAAGCCCAGACTGCAAACCATAACCCCCGAACCCTTATACTCTAAACTTTAAACCCTAAACTGATGCCCCAGGAAAACAATGGAGCAGCAACAACGCAGGAGACACTGCTGTTGGAGCTTGTGAAAGCACGCTACAATCTCGCTGCGAAACCCAGCTGCAGGATATAGCCAGAGCGAATGGTGGGGCGGCTCGCCAGCTGCACTGGGCGTAAAGAACCAACGGTAAGACATTGGTTTAGGGTTTAGGATTTAGGGTTCAGGGTAGCATGGGAGTTTAAGGCTACGATGAGACCGAATGGCGCCACAACGGAGGCAGCAAGCGAAGGTACAAGGCAGGTCTGCAGAAGAGACACTGCATGTCCCCGTTTAAGCATCACTGCGAAGCCGCATCAGGGCAAGAGATCGGGAAAGCACGATTGGGCAACTTGGCTGGCTTCTTTTCAAGGCTGCTCGTATAAGGTTGAGCTGTGGTTCTGACGCTGCATAAGGCCCGTTGGAACGGCACTGCACCCCAGATGCAAATGGTGATGCGTAGACTCATGAGAACCAGACTGAAGCTCTGCAGGAGTCCTGGTGGACTTCCCACTCCGGCGAGGCCTGCCTAGTTTTCGTAGATACAGCAGACGAAGGACGTAGAGCAGAGCAGCGTTGCGAGGAGTGGCTCGAGGACTCCCAAAACTGGTGACCGCCTCAGCTTTTGGGGTTTAGAGTTTAAGGGTTCAGGGGTTTGTGGTTTTGGGGTTTAGGGTCTAGGACAACTGGCTTTATCACACGAAACCTCGCACCAGGACTGAGCCACAGCGCAGCGCTCCGCAATGGGTCTGAGATGGTTTTATGTTGCCTCTTGCACTCCTGGTTCTGAGGAGTCTTCCTCATGTGATCATTGTTGTCGTCATCCGCGTGTGCCAAACATAACGGCAACCCTATGAAGTTCTTACATTCAGGGTGAACATGTTTTTTCGAGGCGTCCCTGCGCCGCGGCGGTTTTTTCATTTTTGAAATCTGGGATCATATGTGTAAAAAAAAACCTATTTTGAATTTTGGTGTCACATTTTCATAATAAAAAACTTAGGGGGACACCCCTTGCGATTTTGAATTTTGGGATCACATGTTGATGAAAAATTTAGGGGGACACCCCTTGCGATTTTGAAGTTTGGGATCATATGTTGATGAAAAACTTAGCGGGACACCCCTCGCGATTTTGAATTTTGGGATCATCTGTTCATGAAAAACTTAGGGGGACACCCCTTGCGATTTTGAGTTGTGGGGTCATCTGTTGATGAAAAACTTAGGAGGACACCCCTTGCGATTTTGAATTTGGGGATCAGATGTTGATGAAAAACTTAAGGGGACACCCCTTGCGATATTGAATTTTGGGATCTAATTCTTGTAAACAACTTAGGGGGACACCCCTTGCGATATTGAATTTTGGGATCCACTTCTTGTAAACAACTTAGGGGGACACCCCTTGCGATTTCCAATTTTGGGATCAACTGCTGATAAAAAACTTAGGGGGACACCCCTTGCGATTTGGAATTTTGGGATCATATGTTTATAGAAAAACTTAGGGGGACACCCCTTGCGATTTTGAATTTTGGGATCACCTGTTGATAGAAAAACTTAGGGGGACACCCCTTGCGATTTTGAATTTTGGGATCACCTGTTGATAGAAAACTTAGGGGGACACCCCTTGCGATTTCCAATTTTAAGGGTCATATGTTTATAGAAAAACTTAGGGGGACACCCCTTGCGATATTGAATTTTGGGATCGGGGGACACCCCTTGCGAGTTGGAATTCTGGATTCTTTGCGCTTATGGAAGCTTAGGGGGACACCCCTTGCGATTTCCAATTTTGGGAGCATCTATCGAGAAAAAAACTTAGGGGGACACCCCTTGCGATTTTGAATTTTGTGATCATATATGTATAAAAAAAATTAGGTGGACTTCCCTTGCGGTTTTGAATCCTGGGATCATATTTTCGTAAAACAAACTTAGGGGGACACTCCTTGCGATTTTGAATTCCAGTATCATATATTTCAATTGTTTCAATTATTTACATGGCTGGGATCCTTCTTATCACCTTCTTATTACCCTCATCAACTTTTTATCACCTTCTTATCACCCGAATCTCCAGAAGCCTATATGTGAAAGTTCGGTGTCATCGAACCACTCTTTTTCAGCACTGTGGGAATTCGAAGTGGTT